TGATATTGATGGCGAAGAGCGGTGGGTTCGTTGGGATTTGGAGTGCTCTTACTATTTATATGGCTCTCCGAGCTATTGCCGGAATTGCTAGGTACGTATTCATTTCTCACCATATACATATACATATACATATACATATATAACCCACATCTCATGATTCATAAGGAGTGAACACTTTCCTATGAATGTACCATTGCTTAGAAAAAAGTTGGTAGAGCAAAGCAATAACCAATTTAGATAATATATACTTGAAGAACTTATGGAAAATGAGAACGAGGAATCTAAATGATAATAATAATAATAATAATAATAACAATAATAATAATTATAATTATAATAATAATAATTGGGTTGCCATTAATATGTTTGCAGGCTGGGATCGGGGACCGGACCATGGAAGTTCATGCGAAGCCGATCTTGAAAGTAGAAAGTTATTGGTGGTTGTGTTTTTTGTTTAAAATAACTTTTCTATTTTCTCTTAGAAACTTACGAGTTCAAAAACGTTATTTATACAAAATTAAATAATTTGTTTTATATAGCATCACAAAACTAATTTCAATACTTATACCAAAAACAAAACTAATTTCAATACGCATAACCATATAGATAAAAAAAAAATGTGTAATTCTGATAACGCAACAAAATATTATGAACAAAACAATATTAATAGAAAAACGTAATCTTCCAAACCAAATTTTTTAATATTAAAATAAATAAATTCGAGAGTATGACAAACTGTATTTCGTTAACTAAATTATTCACCTCTTATTATCTACTAGAATATAAACTCACAATATAGAACACTGTCACTCACCGAAATAGTTGTACTTTAATTAAATGATTATGAATTATAAATACAATTTTATAATGGGATAATTTTGTAATCTAATGAAGCCATGGGATCTAATTGATATCTCGAATACAATTAAACCGGACTAAATTATGAAATTAAACCAAACCGGTATAACTGAACATATTCTAATATGGATTTTAGCCATTAAGATGCGGGTTTTCATTCAATGCCTATATGTATATATATAGGCAGTGACGAACTAAAAAGAGAAAAAAAATATGAACAAAAACACCATTGTCGTTGTTTCCTTGCCCTAACGAACCTTAAGACGCTCTTTAAACACATTACTCCGATTTACCCGATCGATCCGAACCCAAAGGAGAGAGAAGATCGAGGCAAGAAGGATCGACCACACGACAACGATGGTCGGAGTTCGGTTCTGTTTCCCCATCAGTCCCTTGAGGAAAGGGTAGAGATGGACGATCACCCAAAAGGCAAAGAAGAGCTTCCCGAAAAGCGGGCCCCACGACTGATACCCGCTGTTCACGGCGTACGAGATTCCTGCAACCACGCCGATGATGTTTATCACGAGAAGTGTCGTGGGTGGGATGAGGAGTGTCGTCCACTTGAACATGTAGAGCTCGGCGAAATCCCCATCTTCGTCCGACGCCTTTGATGTGACCGTGAAGTTGGTGTCTATCCCGGCCAGGACTTTGAGTAGGCCTTGGAAGACCGCGAATAGGTGGGCCGAGACTCCTCCGATCACCCAGAACTGCTCGTTCCTCCACCACTCGTCGATCCCTACTCCGCTCCATCGCATCTCGAGGATACCCGTCGCAAATATGGACAAAAATAGGGACAAGAACCATATGCTCGCCAGATTGCTAATCTGAATGCCAAGATAAGGTATTAGTTTCGTACTCGAATCAAGATTCATGACGGAACGGACTCACAATTCAACTGATAGTTTAGAGAGGGAGAGAGTGAAACCTGCGGGATAATGAACTGGTTGGTGAAGAGACAGACGGCAGGAAGAGTACAGTACATGAGGAGAGGGATAGAGGTGATGGGATAGATCGTGGTGTTGACGTACGCAAATCTCTCGAGCCATTTCAGCCGACCGCCGTAACCGTACCAAATCGGGCAATGCCGGCTGAAAAGAATCTCGACGGAACCTAGAGCCCACCGAAGCACTTGGTTCAAACGATCAGATAGATTGATCGGAGCGGATCCCTTGAAAGCAGGAAGCTTGGGCATACAGTAAATCGATCGCCAACCCCGAGCATGCATTTTGAATCCAGTAAGAATATCTTCGGTAACTGATCCGTAAATCCATCCGATCTGTGACCAGAGAAATAAAAGGAGGTAGTCTCAGAATACAAATAGCAGGATTTCGGGCAAGGCTATGTAGCTAACGAAACTAGAATGTACCTCACTTCCCCAGTCGGTTCTGTCCTCATACCCGCAACTAATGACATGAATAGCCTCTTTCAGAAGAGTTTCGGGAGTTGCAGATTCCGGGACACCGCCATTCTCCATAAGGGTAGACGCTACAAAGACTGCAGACTGTCCAAACCGCTTCTCCAGGCTCATTTGCGACATTAACATCGCCTTCTCATCGTCGAAGCCAGCCCCTAGTAGAAAACGAGAAACGCAAGACGAAAGTGAAGAGAAATCTATGCATGGGGTCGGATTTCAACAAACAGAAATGCTAATGGATATTACCTTCGACTCCCTCTTCTATGTCCTCGAGGTTGAACACTGGGACTGTGGAATCAACATGCTTTCTAGATTTCTTGGTGTCGGATCCCTTTTTACTAGATTTGGAGTTTTTCTTTCGTGAACCGCCACAGAGAGAGGACAGCACACTAGGCTTCTTGTGCTTGGGTTTCACTGGTGGTTCATAACCATACAAGGCTGTTCTGTTAAAGACACACCCAGTTCCGACGTAAACAGGTCCTTGAATCCCATCCAAACCTCTCAAATTTATCTGAAAAATCAATTTAAAAAAAGTAAAACAAATCATTACAAAGAAATATTTAGTCAAACATGAGACTTATACAAACAGAACATTCTTAAAATCATAACCAGCTTCCGAAACTTGGAGAGTAGTGCTTATAGGAAAAACGCGCACTTACATCAAAGAAGACGGTGTTACGGTTGGCATATCGATCATTCCTATCAATACCATCAAATCTCTGCGGAAACTGAACATAACACACTTGTTTCCCAAGGTTCGGGTCCATCAAGAAACACATAGCCTCTCTCAAGGCCTTACTGTTGTTTATGTAGTGATCACAATCGAGATTCAAAATGAAGGGGCCGTTTGTAAGAACAGCCGACACTCGAACCTGCAAGGTAATGTCAAGGTAATGTTTACCATGGAGTTAGACAAGACAGCTATACAATTAAAATACTAGATTTGGATTCTGCATTTGAGGGTTACGCACAAGAGCATTCATGGCACCAGCCTTTTTGTGGTGCTGAAATCCGGGACGCTTTTCACGAGAGACATAAACTAGACGTGGCAGCTCATTGCCCTCAGCATCCAGTCCTCCATTTTGACCCAAGAAAACCTGAAATCCGTAATTTCCACATAAGAAGAATACGGTTCCAAAACCCGTAACCAAACCACAAACGTTTCCGTTTCCAGAACTAAGAAAAAAAATCGCTGACTCCTATACGCTGTAGAATGACACTTAAGAACTAAGTAGCTCTCACCTGGATCATTCCTGGATGATCTCTGGTGTTGTTTCCTGGCCAGGGTGTACCATCTTGCATAACCCATCCTTCTTCTGGAATTTTTTGTGCTTTTGCAACAAGAGCATTGATACGAATCTTGAATTCCTCATACTCTCTCTGTAAGAGAATGTTGACATTATGTTGCCACCAAAAGTATACAGTAGAAAACAGATGGCCCAGAAAACCAGACTACTAAATCTTACCTTCATCGCTCTACGATCCTTCACAAACGATGGTTGAACTTTGTCCTTCAAGTAGTCGATCTTCTGTGTGAAGTACCATTCTGGAGCTCGAGGCTCAATGCTGTATTTCTTGCAGAAAGGAACCCATTTCCTTGCAAATTCTGATGTCTCAGAGAGGGCTTCAAAGGTCAGCATAGCCGCACCATCATCAGAAACATAGCAAGAGACCTTTTCAACTGGGTAATCAACAGCGAGGATGGAGAGCACGGTGTTGGCCGTCACCAGGGGAGGCTCTTTTAATGGATCAACAGTACTGACAAATATGTCTACAGCAGCTAATTGTGATGGCTCTCCTTCCCGATCGTACCTGTCGGAGAAAGCATATTCCAATCAGTGCCACGAATGCGAACTCAACAATCAAGTAAACAAATACACGTAAACAAATAGATGATGCAACAGATGACAATGTAAAAGAGAAATCTATGAAAAATGATGTTGAGAAGTGAAGAAATTCTTGCCTTAGAGCCAGCCTATCAAGATATGTCTCACGGTTCACAGGAAGCCACTTAGGGAACTGATCCAATATCCAGGATATAGCAAACCAAATCTCACAAATTACTGAGACTAACCACAGAGCAAACGCATTTGGAACTGGGTTTGTTATCCGGTAGTGCAAGAAGAGGCAAAGAACGACAAGCCGAAGAACTATGACCATCCTGTAAGGATTTATCCTCGATGATGGAACTGAAACCTTTCTTGAAAGAGGCTGTCGAGCTTCATCATTTCTACAAAATACGAAAGCAGCTTGCAGTTATGTGGTTGCTTAGGCAAAAGCCTTTGTTGCTTCCTGGAAAAGGAACTATATCACTTGCAGACTTTCATACACAAGTATGCATGAAGATCATGAACAACATAAAACAACAAGGTTTGTTATAAACAGAGTCAGATATTTCTCGGGCAGCCAAAAAGAATCATAAAAATAACCCAGAAAATGCAAATAATTGGAGGAAGTGACCAAAAGGGAACTCACAGGAAAGGGTCATCCAGGAACACATCAGTGCTGGTCTCATTGTCGCCGCCCCTTTCAGAGACAGCCAGACCAGTGCTCATAGGAATCACATTCTTCTCCTGCTTTAGTTTCCAGCCATCGACTCTCTCCTTCCATGCCACATTCCCTATTCCTGGTGAACCAAACTCCCTAACCGGGTCTACTGCCCTTATGTTGGCTGCACCAAATGAAACAAGGCCCTTTGAATCGACATAATGAAATTCAGCAAGCAGGAGATAAAACGGAGTGAAACAAGAGAGAGAATCATACGAGACTGATTCATATCGCTGGAATAACGAAGACGTTTTCCACAATCTCGAGGAGGAGATGCCATAGAGAGCCGCTCAGGCGATGCAGCAGACAGCTCTCCTGATACCTGCAATTATCCAAAGGTGTTACTCAGCCATATTAATATTAGTTAAGATTGCGGTACCAGGCAAAATGCTTGACTAGCTACCTCTTGTCCACAGGTTAGACGCGGAATGTTGTTATGCGAGGGCTCTTTATCATATTCTGGGGGCCCAAGGTCCTCACTCTGTCCACCCGTCAAATGCCAGCTCAACATGCGCTCTGAAATTTTCTCCTTCTGGCTTTGGTCATTAGGTATGTAACTAAGTTCAATAGCACCTTCATCAGTGTTGTTGTCATCCTCTTCAGCATCTCCAACAATTGGAGGGCTACCTAGAATTTTTTAAAACAACAAATTAGGACCTAATTTGATCCAGAAATCAACCAACTTTCAACATTTTATGGCCAGATAAGCTTTAAAACTTCTCTAATAGAACTAAAAAAAAAGTATATAGATGGCAAAAAAAAAGCACAGGGATGAAGAGCCCATTCTAATAGCTCTAACTCACTCTAAAACAAGAAATCATACTAAAATCCAGAGGCTTTTTACATAGTCTAGATGTAGGGGAGTCAAATCACACCAACTATCAAATGACAATTCAGGGAATTGAGATGTGATACCACCTTTGAGCCTCTTGTACTTAGTCTTGCATTGTGGGCAAGACTGGTTCCCATACTTCCTCTCGTACTCATAGCATGGTCTACAGACAGGAAATGCGCAGACATCACAGGCCACAAAGGGACCACCATCGACGGTTTTGCCAATGTTGTCACTACAGATCTCGCAAACCTGTCTTCCAAGATTCTTCACGGGCTCCGCCTTAGCAACAAAAAATTCCAATGTTACAAAACTAAGAACCCAATTGAGAAACATTTCAGGGGAACCAATAAAACATACACCAAATGTTTCATACATAGTACATCTCTCACTTCATTCGATTATCCACAATGCCCGAATCACAAGTTCACAGATCAAACTTTAACAAAGGGAAAAAAGATTCTACTATATATTCATTTTTGTACTCACCGTAGCTTCGCCTTCCGCTCCAACCATAGTCGGATTCTCCTCGATCACCAGTTGGATAACAGATGAAAAATGGAAAGTGGGTTTCAATTAGATCTGGACATCCGTAAAACACTTGCGGAATCTACACGTCTTCACTCTCAGTCAAGATAGTGCAAAACTCCGATCTGCGATTCAAGATCAAGATTCAGATCGCGCTCACCAACAATCATCATCATAAATACCAAGATCTCCATCAAGATCGACAGCACGGACGTATTTACACGGCCAATGTGCACGACAGCTAAAAAAAGGTCAGAACAACACAAGTTCATCAGTGTAACACTAACAAGACCCTCAGATAACTGATCAAGTGTTCTCCGCTAAATTACCCGGGATGCAGAATTTTACCTGGCGTTAATACACAATTTCTGACGAGAAAATCGGAATTCAGACAACAAAATCAAAGGCGAATCAGCTATCAGAGCTCCAACGAAAACGAATACCGAAACCGAAAACGAAGGAGACCGATCCAAAACCTGGGATTGCGAATTCGGCCGAAGATAAATGAAAGTGGAGTGGGTCGAGAGAGAGAGAGAGAGAGAGAGAGAGAGAGAGAGAGAGAGCGCGCTGAGCACTGTGACAGGCCGAAGAATAGGAAGCGGATTGAGAAAATCCGAAATTTGCAATTCTTAGCATTTTTGTCGAATTTTTTCCGGGCAAAAAAAAAGATTTTTTATGACAGCTGGTGACAGTATAGATTAATATTATTTTTTTATAAATGAATTATATAGTTGCCGCGTCAGCAGCGTGTGGTCATATAATTTGTTTTTTTTTTTCGGCATTGACATATATTTTGATTTATTTTTGTCGTATTTAACATGAAAAACTATCGAACATGAAATCCATGTTTGATTATTATATCTATCAATGTCCGAATCCGATAAAGGGTATACATTTAAAATAAATAGTATTATTCGATGCAAAACAGTAAATAAATTTAAGGACGTTTTTTTTATCATCATTTTTTACTTATTTTATATTTTGCAGAATATTTATACAAAAACTGATTTTAGTTTCAGATTTTTTTTAGCTTTGTATATATAAAGTTACCTAAGTTTGAGAAAAATATATACTAGGCCTTTGAAAATACATGGACAAAACAGAAATTTACCATGTGTTACATGTGAATAAATGGAAATTAATCCAATAGTCTATTTCTGTTATTTCCTTGTGGAATTCACAGTTAGACTTATTTCCTTGTGGAGTACAAAAAATCATATAAAAATTATAAATTACTTTTTAACATTTAGCTTACCTTTTTAAAGCTGCATTTATTTACAAAGGACTCCACTAATACCCTCGTGATAAAATCTTGTACACACACAAAAAAAAAAAAAAAGAGAGAGAGATATCCCAATACACAATAAATTCGACAAATTGGTAAAAGGAAGTATTGTTACTTTTAAATTATTTTGGTTCGTTGCTTAGCAATTCTGTTTCACTATCTGTATATAAACTATGCATATATTTAAATTTCGATAAGAATCAGACAAAAATAATGTTGTTCCTTTTCAAGATGCCAATGTGCACGGCTTTAGAAACCACAACACATCCAACCCTCTCCTCCCCCTCTCCTCCTCTCTCTCGACCCGCTCTTGAAGGATTCTCCTCTCCTGTTACGATATGTAAATATTGTAAGATACTATTTATTTTTTTTTGGGCAACGAGTATCCTATGCCGAGGTCCAAACTATTCTTGAGATTAGAAAACAACCATCCTCTCTCCTCGAATTCGAGGTTCCAACTCAATGCCGGAACAGACGTTTTGTATTCTGTTTCACCGGTTGAATTTACCAGATTTGGATTAAGAATTAAGATACTATTCATGTAATGAATACTTTTATAATCTAACTGTTAATACCATATATATATATATATATATATATATATATATATATATTGATAAATACTCATGAAACAAAGGGGAAAGAGGGGTTATTATTTCAGACGTACCATAGGCTTGGATCTCGAAGAAGCTGATTTAGTTGCAGAGAAGCATTGAGGAGACGGAGGATTGGTCTTTATTTGCTGTAACCTGAGCTCCTCTCCTTTGTTCTTCACCTTCTCCAGATCCAAAGCCATAGGGATGATGTTCTCCTCGTCGTCCACTCTCCTGCAAGAATCCAATTCATGTCTTTATTACACAAATCACCGCGCTATCCGACAGTATATCCAGTTTCCGTACTTGTAAAAGCACAACTTACTTCTTCCTTCTACCCTCCTCCTCTTTCTTGCTGCTTACTCTACCCCTCACATCGTCGAGCTTCTCCTTGTCCACTTCCAGCAAAGGCCTCCTTTGCTCTTTCGATTTTCCCACTTGGGTTAGGGTTTCCTCTGCATTTGGCTTCACAACAGTTTCTTCTCTCTCTGTCACCCTCGTGGCCAATCTCTTCAACTCGTTGCAGAGCTCAGAGATGTGTCCGAGTATGTCCTTCCCATGGAACAGATTCCTAGCAGACAATGTACTCTTTAGTTTTGGTTCGTCCTCTCTTTGCAGCTTTTCATGCGTATTCATCGTCTTCTTGACAGAATTTGATCTAAGTGCTGCTCTCCAGGATTTTGCGTGGTGGCTTGGAAGAGGCGTAGACGAATTCGGATTCTGGTTTTCGCTATCATAGTTGTTGGAGGTGAAAGGTGCCTTTCTCCTCGGTTTCGCTTCACTGAATAGAGAAACGAGAGGACTGGTAAGGTTGTTGAGATTGATGGAAACCATTCGAAACCCTAAACTTTGAAACCCATATATGCAGAAACAGAGAATTGCAACCACCTGTGCTTCGGGTGTCTAGCCGAGAGAGCCTCTCCACCACTTCGAAGCTTCAAAAAAGATCAATCAACAAAGAGAAATATGAGGGGGGGAGGGGAAGCAAGTATCTGAGCTGCAACTTTCTTCCGCAGCCATGGAAGAAGAAAGGGAAGGGGCAAATATTAAACCCAACAATCAAACCCGTGAATTTGGCTTTGCAACAAGGAAAAGTTCGAATCTTTGAGGCGAACAGAGAAGGGGGTAAAATATCACAATTCAAACCCTAGAATTCGGATTCGCGGAAAGAAAAAGTTAGAATCTTTAGGCACAAACCAACCTTGGAAGTCGCTGGGGATGCTGCGAGGAAGTCTTCAGCCCTCTTCGGATGATTACAGTCTGAGTTGAAAAAGATAACTCCATGAGAAAGAGAGAGAGAGAGAGAGAGAGAGAGATGGAGAGAGACTTGGTACCAGGTCTGCAAAACCAAGCGTCGTCATCGACATCGTCGTGAGGGGCCGAGAAATCGAACCATTTGGGAGCTTTGAAGTGTTCGAAGAAGACATCTTCGACGAAGCGAGAATCAATTCTCTTCCAGTCAATATTCGCGGGCTCCATTGTCTGAGCAACGAAGAAGACTACGGATAGATACAGAAGTCGGAGGAGGAGTCTGGAGAGGAAGAAGAACAAAGAAGATGGAGGGAGCGACAATGTAACCGTTACAGATCCACCGTGCATGTGATGCGTGGGTCCCATACCCTTATGACCGTTGCACATTTATTTTAATTAATTAAAATCACAAAAATGCCCAATTAAAAAAGACAAAAACTATAGAAAAACATTGTGTATATTAACAAAACCAAACTAAATTGAATATACTAATATCTCTAATTAATAATGAAAAAAATCATATCTATAATGACAATATATATATATGGGTGTGTGTGTGTTGAAACCTTTATTGAAAGGAGAAAACATGGTTTATCGCATAAAGTCATGAAAATTTATAAAAACATATTACAAGTTTTGAATATTATGTTCTAAATAAACTTTCATATTCCTTTAACAAAAAAATAAATAAACTTTCATATTTACATCACGATTCCAACATAAACCATCAAACCCTCTTGCCACTTGATTAAGCTTATTTATGCCACTTGAAAATACAAACTGCTAATTTCCTTGAGATCATGGTTTAAAAAAAATCCCTAAAATTTTGTATTTGTTTTATAATAATAATAATAATAGTTAGGTATACTTAAAATGTTATACCTAATAATTTATAGATTTGTAACAAAGTCTTAGATCTATAATAGGTTTAGAATTTAAAAGTTTAAAGAAAATTTTGCCTGAAGCACGCAATGGGCCTAATGTATACATAGAATATGTGGGTGTTTATTGTGGCGGCCCATATAGACAGATGAGCCATATATTATATATATATATATTAATTTCTTTTAATTTTAGAGTTTGATTTTCCGAGAACTCTGTCTGTGTTGGCGGCTTCTAGGTGGAAACGGACAAAAGAGATGTCATCTAACGGCGTGATTGTCACCGTTACAGTCGACGACAAAAAGCAACGTGTCGAGTTCTCGAGAACGTGGGACCCACTCCGTCACAGCCGTCTTGACACGGTGTCCTCCCCAGCTTTTCTCTCGTCTTTTAACTCATAATTAATCCCTTAAACTACTTTTTCCCCATCAAATCTCTCAATCACTATACAAAATCTGTTCATCTATTGACCTAATAAAACTATATATTGATAATTATATATTTAACGGGTCAGGATTGACTTGAATTCAAAAGAAGAAAAAATTTATATTATATACTTATATAATAAACAACAAAAAATATTGTCTTTCCATCATGTATTTTTCTGAAAGGGTGTAAATATTATTATTATTATTATTATTAAGAATATAATATGGTGGATTTATTACCGGTAGTTCGGGGGTTAAGCCTGTCCAATAGCTTCATTTACTTGCAACTGGATATAGCCCATCTTTTGTTCTCTTCACCTACCATTTTTACTCCTAATCCAAAAGTATACAAGAATATATTCTGAACTTTCCTTTTTCTTTCTTTTAGGGTTTTCAATTTTTTTTATTTTTCTTTGTAAATTTAGAATAGTATTTTTTAAACAATGTATAAATAAATAATGGTTCTTTTGCGGACATTGACTTTTTTTTCAATGGAAGTTGTTAAATAATAAAGAAAATTATTTTTAATGAGATTTTATTTTGTGATATGTAGTCATCTACCCAGAGAAGCCAGAAAGCCAAAAGAATGAAAAATAAATTTAGACATAAAACCATAGAGGATCATTGAAATCATGGATATATGTGTATATATGTATAACTAAAATAATTTTTCTTACTATTTATTAGTATTATGATAATAATTTTTGTCTAAGTCTAAAGTGTAGTTAATATCTATTTAATTATTCAAATTAATCGTCATTCTTTATAATAGATAAAATTATTCTGGATAATTATTTTTACCCTATTTCTCCGCTTAAAATTTTGGAAAATTCACATCTTATGACTTATGTCAAACATAAAATGCACATTTATCTCCTTTTTTAAAATTAATACAATTGGTAATAATACAAACAAATAACATTCGCTTGTTTTTTCTTTGGCCAAACAGAGAGAGTTTTTTCCGGACAATTTTGTTCTTTGGAGTATTTGAAAAGATAGGGGTAAATTTGTCTTTTTCATAAACGCAAATGCGAACACCTCATCGGCTTCTATAATTTCACCTTACTTTGAACGGACACAGAAAGTGACGTTGCGTGCATTAAACTTAATATATGGAATATCTCATATATTTAAAAAAAAACAATTACTAAAAAAAATTGCCACAGAAATCTTCAAATTCATCTCACATCTTTCCTTTGGAGGAAAACTAAATTCTTTTTTGCTATAATTTATGCCCTTCCCTTCCTACAAATCAATTTCCCACTGTCTCTCCTGAGGTCGCAAGAGATCGAGAGGGAGAGGGAGAGGGAGAGAGAGAGATGAATTCATGACTTTCGAGCCGTTGACGCAGAAATTCCAAGTCTTCGAAGATTTTCGTCTGCTTCTTCTCTTCCGACAGTAAGTCTCTGTCTTCACTCTCTGGAGATTTCGTATTAGATAAGCTAATTCTCACTTGGGTCGTTTCGGATTCTCTGCGATTTTACCGTTTTCGTTGATGGGTCTTACCCGGGAACCTCCAACTTCAGCCATACCATTTTTTCCTACTGGTTCTTCGGGGAATCTTTTGGTTTTTCCTGGTCGCAGATGAAATCTGGCTTGAAAGAAGCTGTTCTGGTCTGATACATTAGGAGTTCTTGTTTTTGGATTAAAATTGAAATATAATTTACTCGGATCGTGACGACTGTGATTGCATACTTGGTGTTTGATCTTTTGCTCTCGTCTTGTTCCGGGGGGGCTTTCGGTTAAAAATGATTAGCGACTTGTCTTTTCAGCTCGCTTTGCGTTTTTGGACGTTTTATGTTTTGCCTTCATGCATCAGAACAAGCGTGTCATGTTCCGCTGAAATGCAAAGATCATGAACACTTCATCAGTTCAATTTTGTTCTAGGAGTCTTAATTCATTTGTTTTCTCGTTGAAAGTTTCCTCCTTTACTCGTTTAAGGTGGTCTTATGTAGTGGTGATGCTTCATATGTGTGGTAAGAGGTCGGATCATACATCTTACTAAAGGTTCTGAGATTCACTTCATCCAGACAAGTGAGAACGACATCTCGTGTTCTAGATGCATCGCTAGATCTTGCCCTTTTCCCATCTTTGCAGACTCGTGCTGTATAGAGCTTCTTATCATAAATTTGTTATATTGTTTATGAACCGTAGTCTGTAATTGAATGATCTTCTCTCTGTTTCTGCTTTGCATATACTCGGTATATTGTGATAGGGTCAAGATTTATGTAACCTGTAGATTTATTTTAAGGACGTACTTACAAGGTTGCGTAACTAGTTTTATGATAAACTTGTTTGCAGAGTTGTAAACCGAAAAGGATGCCGACAAAAGCTGACAGTGGACACAGACAGCTGGATCATGGTACTCAAACCGTCTTTCAGTCAAACATGCATGTCCAACCGTGGTGGCGGGGAGTTGTGTCCAGCACTTCCACGGGCGAAACCACTTCAAAAGCATCTCCATCAGATCATTTAACTAGTTCCATGCCTATGCAAACAGCTGCTAATTTGGTTGACAAAGGTATTGCTGATCATTGCTGTCATATCACGGATAACTGCTTGGTGGTTTGGATACTGTATTTCTGATAAAAACACTGGTATTTCTCGGACTAGGGGTTTATCCCGGACAAGGAGACCATCTGAAGTGTGTCCCTTCAACAGATCCGGTAACAATTGCCAAAAATGCAGACCTTAATTCCCAGATGGAACTAGTTGGCCACTCAATTGTAAGGCCTCTCAGTCCATTTTTGTCTTGTATCCATACTTCTACTTGTGTATACATTTGTCTGGGATGTCAGGATGTGTACCATTGTTTTCCTGGTTGGTGCCTTGATGCATATGGTGATGGCTTCAATGAATGGGTTTAATCTCGTCTTTGCAATTTCAGGTTATGATGTCATACCCATATTCAGATCCTCAGTATGGGACAATGTTAGCATCCTATGGTCCACATGGTCTGGTATGAAAGAATATGCATGAAAAACTTAACATATGGAGTGACCCGTGTTTCCCTCTGCCAAATGATAGTAGCGGTCCATTCGTTGTACCATCTAACTCTGAGGGAATTCCTCCTTGTGACCTCTTTTGTTATTGCAAGGTATCTCCTCAGATGTATGGAGTCCATCAAACTAGAATGCCTCTGCCTCTTGAAATGGAAGAAGAGCCTGTCTATGTAAATGCTAAGCAGTACCACGGCATTCTGAGACGGAGGCAGTCCCGAGCTAGAGCCGAGCTCGAGAAGAAAGTGATCAAAGTTAGAAAGGTAAGAAGAGTATCCATTAGGGAAAGCTACTTAACTGCCATGCCATAGTTGATACGTTCAAAGCGTCTCATCATCGTCCTCCCCACCTACTACTCTACAGCCGTATCTTCATGAATCCCGGCACTTACATGCCATGAGAAGGGCGAGGGGTTCTGGCGGGCGGTTTCTTAACACAAAGAAGCTCGAAAACAACGGCACCAGTCCAAATCCCGAGAAAGAAACAAACGCAGGGCGTGAATGCTCAGAAACAGCAATGCGAATTCATGCAGCAAATAAAGGGGGTTTCAGCTGAACCCCCAACTAGTTAAACAGGAACAACACCTGCAGGTGAGATTCTCGCGATCCGTCTGCGTGTGTATATATGTGTGTGTGTTTTCTTTTCGAGAACAAAACCCGTATTTTATTCAGCGTTTGCGTTTGCGTTTTTGCGATGTGTTCAGGGCAGGTGGTGTTCCCAGGCAATTCATTCTTGGCTGTGTGCTTATGGTGTTTTTTTGGCTATTTGGAAGTGAGAGAGATGCAGAGACAATAGAAACATGAGAATGTCTTCATGTTCATGGATTGTCCGCATCTACACCCTGTCTTAGTCTCACTCCACAAACTTGTAAAGAAAACACGGGTCATACGACACGTCTGTCTTCTTCCAAGCTTCTGTAACTTTGTGAATTTTACCCTCTTAGGTAACCTTCTGGATCGCTTCGTGGGTGTGAATAAAAATGGCTCATGCAAAATATGACTTTGAATTTCCTTTCAATAAAATTTATCTATCAATTTGGTTTTCTTGATATTCATGCCATTTCTTGAAACAGTTCTCGTTTAGAGTTTCAACAAGAGAGGCAACAAAGATGTTCCAAGCTTCCACTCCAACACAAACAAAAGCCTCATCATGTATGTCTCTCTACCTAATAAAACTGTGCTTTTTATTTATTTTTTAATGTCTGCGGCAGCCTCTAAGGCAGAGTTTTTGCAATTAAATATTTAATTTTTAAAAATGAAAATTTATAATATTTTATATCTTCGTATAACTTTTTGGGGTTTAATGTATAAAATATTTTTCCAAAATTAAAAAAAAACTGATGATGATAAAGAGCAAAATAGCCAGAGAGCTTCTGTGGCTCTAACGCAGACCTAAAGGCACCCTAACTTCTCTAACCGAAACTTTGACGTCATCTGCCATCTCTCTCTCTCTCTCTCTCTTACTTTAACTCTGTTTTCTGTTATCATCTGCCCACCCTCTCTCCTGTTCCTCCAATTTAGTGATTTACCAAAAAATAATTATAAAACTCATTTACTCACAAAGGGTTTTTTTTGGGTAAATATTCATTCGATATTTTGTTTATATCTGTTAACTTTGTTTTTTTTAGGTGAAATTTATGATTGAAACATTAAAACCTTGAATTGTACCTTATCCGTATCTTTAAGGATATTTCACATTTGGATTATGTCTTGGAGTTGGAGATTTTTCGAGTTTTTTTTTTTAAAAAAAGAATCATCTTTATTTTATATTTATATTGGTTTTCTGTTTTATTGATATTCTTTTCAATTTTGTTTTTATTAAAAAAATTATTTATTTGAAAAATTATTTTCACTTCGATTTTTTCGACTCTTGAGGGTTTGATTGGAATTCAATTAATTTACCTTTATAAACAAATTATTCTCGGTCCATTTTGAGACTGTCGCGTTGTATTATAACGGAAATGTGCCAAAGTATATATATATATATATATATATATTTTATTTTAACATGAAGTTCTTATGGAAACTAATGATAAAAATATATAACAAAGAAGGTGGGATTGGGTTGGAGGTATAACTAATAACGTTGATTTAAATCAAAGACCATATGATAACATGGAAAAAAAGTACATATATACTGCATCTATTTGTAGATGACCTAATTCAAAGCCAAAGTCAATACCTTTATTAGTGAGGCCGAGATTAGCTCTTTCCAAATCCCAAAAAAAAAAAATCCCAATCACAAAATTTCGTTTTCGTATTCGTAACATTTTTTTATTTATTTTTCAAGTATATATTTTCAAAATTCATTTACCGAATTCAAAATCTATTTATTTCCCCCCACTAAAATGTACAATTGCATATTGGATAGGTATCTACCTTCACGTTTTAATACCGTAACTTCCGGGAAATGTTTGGTATTTATATTTTAATTTTGAATTATGTTGACCATTCACTATTTCTATCACTATGTATTATATTGTGACTTGTGACCGAATTTTTCGGTTGACCAGGCTTCAGAAATTTATGGGAAAAATTAAATGGGAAACATAAGTTTGTATTATGATTTATTTATTTGTTTGTTAATATCCACTGTTATATAAAACATGTAAATATATAAAATCATGCATTTTGGGGGAATCAATTTAATATGGATTTCCATTTTGGAGAAAATAATATATA